AGGGTGAGTGAATAGTGAGTGAGTGGTTTTATGAGCGAGTGAGTGAGTTGAGTGGTTTGATTATGGATGAGTGAGTAGTTGAGTGACTGAGTGGATGAGTGAATGGTTAGTTAGTGGATGAGTGAATAGGTGAGTGAGTGGTTTTATGAGCGAGTTGAGTGAGTAGGTGAGTGGTTTGATTAGTGGATGAGTGAGTGGTTGAGTGACTGAATGGTTGAGTGAGTGGATGAATGAATGGTTGAGTGAGTGAATGGTTGAGTTAGTGAATGGTTGAGTTAGTGCAGGGTCGGCAACCTACGGCTCCGGAGCCGCATGCGGCTCTTTACGGGCTGCTTCTTGACGATGAGTACGTATGTACTCAGATGCATTGCGGCTCTTGAAATACTGAATTTTGTACCGAATTGGAAAGAATGGCTCTTCTTGTTATTTTGGTTGCCGACCCCTGAGTTAGTGGATGAGTGAACAGGTGAGTGAGCGGCAGAGGTGGGACAAAGTCATTGTTATGCAAGTCCAAGTCGAGTCTGAAGTCATCAAATTCATGACTCGAGTCTGACTCGAGTCCAAGTCACATGACTCGAGTCCACATCTCAGAGGTGGGACAAAGTCATTGTTATGCAAGTCCAAGTCGAGTCTGAAGTCATCAAATTCATGACTCGAGTCCAAGTCACATGACTCGAGTCCACACCGCTGGTGAGCGGTAAGGCTACCACCACCTTCCCCACAGCACAGACCTAACCCGGATACGTTTCCTCGGTCAGCACCACCACCATCAAACTGTGCTGCAGTTTTCTGGACTGCGATAAAGCTTAGCACAGACGATGCCAATCCCCGTCATCTGTGTACAAAGCATCTCCTGCAGCCACCCGCCCACACAGATGATGCCAATTCCCGTCATCTGTGTACAAAGCATCTCCTGCAGCCACCCGCCCACACAGATGATGCCATCCCCGTCATCTGTGTACAAAGCATCTCCTGCAGCCACCCGCCCACACAGATGATGCCAATCCCCGTCATCTGTGTACAAAGCATCTCCTGCAGCCACCCGCCCACCCAGATGATGCCAATTCCCGTCATCTGTGTACAAAGCATCTCCTGCAGCCACCCGCCCACACAGATGATGCCAATCCCCCCGCCTCTACGGGGTCAACCCGGGACGGGTGGCAACCCTCCACTACTCCTCGTGTGCGTGATCACGGGGGGGCGCCGGAATGCAGAGCCTGGAAATTAAACCGCGAGCGTGTTGTGTGTGTTTGGTTCTGTGTGTTGTGTTCTGTGTGTTTGTTGTGTGTTGTGTGTGTGCGTGGTGGGTGTTGCGTGTTGTGTGTGTTTGTTTCTGTGTGTTGTGTTCTGTGTGTTTGTGTGTGTTGTGTGTGTGCGTGGTGTGTGTGCGTGTTGTGTGTGTTGTTTCTGTGTGTTGTGTGTTCTGTGTGTGCGTGTTGTGTGTTTGGTTGTGTGTGTTGTGTTGTGTGTGTACGTGTTGTGTTCTGTGTGTGTTGTTGTGTTTGTCCTGTGTTGTGTGCGTGTTGTGTGTGTGTTCTGTGTTAATGTGTGTTGTGCGTTTGTGTATGTGTGTGTTCTGTGTTAATGTGTGTTGTGCGTGTTGTGTGTGTTGTCTTGTGCGTTGTGTTTGTTCTCTGTTTAATGTGTGTTTGTTATGTATGTGTGGCGCGTGTTGTGTGTTTGTCCTTTGTGTGTGTGTGTTTATGTGTGTTGTGTATTGTGTTTATGTGTGTTGTGTACGTGTATTGTGTGTTGTGTGTGTTTATGTGCGTTGTGCGTGTGTTGTGTGCGTGATGCCGCGTTGACAATTAGTCCACAGGCGCATGTAATAGGCGACGATCCGGCCAATGTCCGTTTTTAATGACGGAGGAAGGGGGGGCGTTGCTGGGGCCTGGGCGACGTTTCAGGCAACGACCCTTCCGTAATAACTATCGAACGAAAAAGGCCGATTGAAACCGTCTGCTGCTTAGCGGCAATGCCTCATCGCTGTTGGCGAATGCGTTGATCGTTCCGAGTCCCTGGAGTTGATTCCTGGTGTGGGGGGGCATGGGCCCCCCGTTATCCGTAGTTGCCACCTGTCCCGGTTTTCACGGGAACACCGCCTCCTCTTGTTGTTGAGGTGGTCGTTTTGTAAACACATCTCCTCCTCCGAGTTGTTCAGACTCGAAGCTCCACCTCCCCGACGGGGTCGTGACCCGTGAACTTTGGGGTCGTGACCCCTGAACTTTGGGGTCGTGACCCCTGAACTTTGGGGTCGTGACCCCCCCCCTCCGCTGTGCCCCATAGGGCGTCCGCGTGGAGACGGAGCTGGAGCTGCTACCGCTGGGAGATTTGGATCTGACATCGGACGAGTGCATCCTGGACGAAGTGGACAGTGAGACACCCCGCCCCCCCCCACAGGGTCACACCCCCCCCCACAGGGTCACTCCCCCCCCCCCCCCCCCCACAGGGTCACGCCCCCCAGGGTCACGCCCGCCCCCCCCCAACGGGGTCACTCCCCCCCACCCCACAGGGTCATCACCCCCCCCCCCCCACAGGGTTCACGCCCCCTCCCCCCCAGGGTCACGCCCCCCCAGAGTCACTCCCCCCCAGGGTCAACTCATTGACCCACGACTGACGCCAGTCTCATCTGAGCTGACCTAGATGCAGCCCACATCCAGGACTCTGAAAGGCCGCGCCGGCGGCTGCGTTGGCTGGTGAAGGTTTCTTCCAAACGCATTGCTGGTGACGGTTGCGTTGCCGTCCCTCGTGAATGCGTTTGTGTCTCCGTGTGTCTCCGTGTGTCTCCGTGTGTCTCCGTGTGTCTCTGTGTGTCACCGTGTGTCACCGTGTGTCTCTGTGTGTCTCTGTGTGTCTCTGCGTGTCTCTGTGTGTCTCCGTGTGTCACCGTGTGTCTATGTGTCTCCGTGTGTCTCTGTGTGTCACCGTGTGTACCCGTGTGTCTCTGTGTGTCTCCGTGTGACTCCGTGACGTCTCCGTGTGTCTCCGTGTGTCTCCGTGTGTCTCCGTGTGTCTCTGTGTCTCCGTGTGTCTCCGTGTGTCTCTGTGTGTCTCCGTGTGTCTCTGTGCCGCAGCTCACATCCAGGCGAACCTGGAGGATGAGCTGGTGAAGGAGGCGCTCCGCACGGTGAGGAGAGGAGGCCTCGGGCCACCAGCGTGCCTCTGTCTGTGTGTGTGTCACCGCGTATGTCTCACCGTGTCTCTCCGCTTGTGTCACCGCGTGTCTCCTCATGTGTCACCGTGTCTCTCCGCGTGTCTCACCGTGTGTCTCCTCGTGTGTCACCCTGCCTCTCTGTGTATGTGTGTCTCCGTGTGTCACCGTGTCTCTCTGTGTATGTGTGTCTCCGTGTGTCACCGTGTCTCTCCTCGTGTGTCACCGTGTCTCTCCGCGTGTCTGTCCGTGTGTCTCGGTGTGTCTCCGTGTGTCCCTGTATGTCCCCGGGTCTCAACGTGTCTCGCTGTGTCTCCCCGTATCTCACTGTCTCACCATGTCTCACCGTGTCTCCCCGTGTCTCCCCGTATCTCACTGTCTCACCGTGTCTCACCGTGTCTCACCGTGTCTCACCATGTCTCACTGTCTCACCGTGTCTCCCCGTATCTCACTGTCTCACCATGTCTCACCGTGTCTCCCCGTGTCTCCCCGTATCTCACTGTCTCACCGTGTCTCACCGTGTCTCCCCGTGTCTCCCCGTATCTCACTGTCTCACCATGTCTCACCGTGTCTCCCCGTGTCTCACCGTGTCTCCCTGTGTCTCGCCGTGTCTCCCTGTATCTCACTGTGTCTCACCATGTCTGACTGTGTCTCCCCGCGTCTCACCAGTTCTCCCTGTGTCTCACCGTCTCTCACCGTGTGTACCCGTGTGTCACCGTGTCTCCTCGTGTGTCACCGTGTCTCTCCGCGTGTCTGTGCGTGTGTCTCCGTGTGTCCCTGTATGTCCCCGGGTCTCACCGTGTCTCACCGTTTCTCCCCGTATCTCACTGTCTCACCATGTCTCACCGTGTCTCACCGTGTCTCCCCGCATCTCACCATTTCTTCCTATGTCTCACCAGTTCTCCCTGTATCTCACCGTGTCTCCCTGTGTCTCACCGTATCTCCCTGTATCTCACCATGTCTCCCTGTATCTCACCGCGTGTCCCTGTGTCTCACCGTGTCTCCCTGTATCTCCCCGTGTCTCCCTGTATCTCACCGTGTCTCCCTGTGTCTCAATATCTCACCGCGTCTCACCAGTTCTCCCTGTGTCTCAACCGTGTCTCCCTGTATCTCACCATGTCTCCCTGTGTCTCACCGTGTCTCTCCACGTCTCCCCGCGTCTCACCGTGTCTTCCCTGCATGTCCCCGTGTCTCACCGCGTCTTCCCGCTACTCCACCGCGTCTTCCCGCTTCTCACCGCTTCTCACCGCGTGTCCCTGTATCTCACCGTATCTCCCTGTATCTCACCGTATCTCCCTGTATCTCACCGCGTGTCCCTGTGTCTCACCGTGTCTCCCTGTATCTCACCATATCTCACCGTGTCTCACGTGTCTCACCGTGTCTCCCTGTGTCTCACCGTGTCTCCCTGTATCTCACCGTGTATCCCTGTGTCTCCCTGTGTCTCACCGTGTCTCACCGTGTCTCCCTGTGTCTCCCTGTGTCTCACCGTGTCTCACCGTGTCTCCCTGTATCTCACCGTGTATCCCTGTGTCTCCCTGTGTCTCACCGTGTCTCACCGTGTCTCCCTGTGTCTCACCGTGTCTCCCTGTATCTCACCGTGTATCCCTGTGTATCCCTGTGTCTCCCTGTGTCTCACCGTGTCTCACCGTGTCTCCCTGTGTCTCACCGTGTCTCCCTGTGTCTCACCGTGTCTCACCGTGTCTCCCTGTATCTCACCGTGTATCCCTGTGTCTCCCTGTGTCTCACCGTGTCTCACCGTGTCTCCCTGTGTCCTCACCGTGTCTCCCTGTGTCTCACCGTGTCTCACCGTGTCTCCCTGTGTCCTCACCGTGTCTCCCTGTATCTCACCGTGTATCCCTGTGTCTCCTGTGTCCTCACCGTGTCTCACCGTGTCTCCCTGTGTCTCACCGTGTCTCCCTGTGTCTCACCGTGTCTCACCGTGTCTCCCTGTATCTCACCATGTATCCCTGTGTCTCCCTGTGTCTCACCGTGTCTCACCGTGTCTCCCTGTGTCTCACCGTGTCTCACCGTGTCTCCCTGTGTCTCACCGTGTCTCCCCGTATCTCACCGTGTCTCCCCGTGTCTCCCCTGTGTCTCACCGTGTCTCACCGTGTCTCCCTGTATCTCACCGTGTCTCACCGTGTCTCCCTGTGTCTCACCATGTCTCACCGTGTCTCCCTGTGTCTCACCGTGTCTCCCTGTATCTCATCGTGTCTCCCCATGTCTCCCCGCATCTCGTCGTGTCAGGGCGTGGACCTCAGGCACTACTCGAAGCACGTGGAGAAAGAGCTGCAGGAGATCGAGAATGCGTCCATCAGGGACTGTATCCTCCACCCCCTCCAGTTGCTGGTGGTGCTCTTAGGGTGCCGGTGTGGTGGGTGTGGTGCTCTAGAGTGCCGGTGCGGTGAGTGTGGTGCCGCGTGTGTCGATCTAGGGGAGGTCCTGATCCTCCCCTAGGTCTACTCGGCCTCAAATGAGTACCTGGTGCGGTGTATAAACATCGCCACCGGGGAGACAAAGGCGGCCGGGCGTGGTGCTGGCCACCCACCCGTCGTGTGCCGTGCCGGCCTTCATAGGTGCTCGCTAACAGCACTTGCTATAGGCCGGGGGATGTTTGCATGGGTGTGTAGAGTGCGGTGCGCTTAAGTACCGACAAAGTGAGTGTGTGGCGCTGTGAGTGTCGTGCCGTGAGCGAGTGGTGGTGCGGTGAGCGAGTGGTGGTGCGGTGAGTGAGTGGTGGTGTTCATCCGTAACGGAGCGTAGACATCAAGGAGAGTGAAAACATCGCAAGCCTGCACGGCCAGATCACCTCCTGCGACTCCATCCTGCAGGTGCCACATTCACCACCACCACAACGTCAACAACCACCACCGCAACAACCACCACCACAATATCAACAATCACCACCACAATATCAACAACAACCACCGCTACAACATCAACAGCAACCACCACCACATCAGCCACCACGGCAGCAGCGCGTGCGCCATTCGCGGCCAACACCGGCCTCCCCTAGGTCGACTCGGCCTCAAATGAGTACCTGGCACGGTGCTGGCCGCCATCGCCCGTCGCGTAGCCGTGCCGGCCTTCATAGGCGCTGCAACTCGCTAACAGCACTTGCCCCGACAGTCTATTAAGGCTACTCGAGGGGGGTATCTTTGTCTTTTCTTTAATGCGTGTGTGTGTGTCTGTGCGTGTGTCTGTGCGTGAGTGTGTGTCTGTGTGTGTGTCTGTGCGTGTGTATGTCTGTGCATGTGTGTCTGTCCGTGTCTGTGCTTGTGTGTTTGTCCATGTCTGTGCGTGTTTGTGCGTGTTTGTGCGTGTCTGTGTGTGTGTCTGTGTGTGTGTGTCTGTGCTTGTGTGTGTCTGTGCGTGTGTGTCTGTCTGTGCTTGTGTGTTTGTCCGTGTCTGTGCGTGTGCGTGTTTGTGCGTGTCTGTGTGGTGTGTCTGTGTGTGTCTGTGTGTGTCCGTGCGTGTGTGTGTCTGTGCGTGTGTGTGTGTCTGTGTATCTTCGCGTGTGTCTGTGCGTGTGTGTCTGTGCGCGTGTGTGTCTGTGCGTGGTGTCTGTGCGTGTGTTTGTGGCGTGTGCGTGTTTGTGCGTGTCTGTGTGTGTGCGTGTGTGTCTGTGCGTGCGCGTGTGTGTCTGTGCGTGTGTCTGTGCGCGTGTCTGTGCGTGCGTGTCTGTGCGTGTGTGTCTGTGCGTGCGTGTGTGCGCGTGTCTGTGCGTGTGTGTCTGTGCGTGTGTGTCTGTGCGCGTGTCAGCGCATGGAGGAGATGCTGTCGTCGTTCCAGACGGATCTGAGCAGCATCACTCGGAGATCCAGACGCTGCAGGAGCAGTCGGTGGCCATGAACGTGAAGCTGCGCAACCGGCAGGCGGTGCGCGGGGAGCTGAGCCAGCTCGTGGACGAGCTGGTGGTGCCCGGCGCCATGATCACGTGCGCCACCACCAACACCACCACCACAACCATTGCTGCCACAGGCACCGCCGTCACCACCACAACCAACAACACCGCTACGACCATGACTACCACCGCCACCACCACTACAACCACCACCACTACAACCACCACCACTACAACCACCACCACTACAACCACCACCACTACAACCAACACCACCGACACCGCCACGACCATTACTACCGCAGCCGCCACCAACACCACCACCAACACCACCACCAACACCACCACCAACACCACCAACACCACCACCACCAACACCACCACCACCAACACCACCACCAACACCACCACCAACACCACCACCAACACCACCACCACCAACACCACCAACACCACCACCACCAACACCACCACCACCAACACCACCACCAACACCACCACCAACACCACCACCACCACCACACCACCGCCACCAACACCGCCACCAACACCACCACCACCACCACCACCACCACACCACCACCACCAACACCACCACCACCAACACCACCACCAACACCACCACAACACCGCCACCACCAACACCGCCACCACCAACACCGCCACCACCACCACCAACACCACCACCACCAACACCACCACCACCAACACCACCACCAACACCACCACCACACCACCACCAACACCGCCACCAACACCACCAACACCGTTACTACTACAACCACCATCACCAACATCACCGACACCGCCACAACCATCACTACCACAAAGACAAACATCCCCCGTGTAGCCTTAACAGACTGTAGGGGCAAGTGCTGTTAGCGAGTAGCACCTATGAAGGCCGGCACGGCACACGAGGGGGTGGGTGGCCAACTGCTTTTGAAACCCTCCTGGCGATGTTTACTGCACACCGCACCAGGTACTAATTTGAGGCTGAGTCGACCTAGAGGAGGCCCAGGACCGGTTCAGATATTCGTCACCGGTGTTGGCCGTGAGCGGGAATCGAACTCGGGGTGCCGGATTTGTAGCGCAGCGTAGCGCTAACCGCTGCACCACAGCTCCCCACTTGCTACCACAGCCACCACCAACACCACCACCAACACCACCGACACAACCATTACTACCACAGCCACCACCATAACCACCACCAACACCACCGACACAACCATTACTAACACAGCCACCACAATCACCACAACCCACCTCTGCCACCAATACCACCGCCCGCCACCACAGCCACCACCATAACCACCACCAACACCACCACCAACACCACCGACACAACCATTACTACCACAGCCACCACCATCACCACAAAGATCCCTTGGATAGCCTTCACACACTGTTGGTGGCATACGCAGCGAACGAGCACCGCTGGCACTACTGCCACCATCGCCGCCACCACCATCACCACCACCGTCACCACCGTTACCACCACCATTAGCGCCATTACCGCCGTCACCACCATTACCACCGTCACCACCGTCCCCATCACTGTCACCATCGTCACCACCATTTCCGCCGCCACCACTGTCACCACCATTACCACCACCGCCGCAACCGTGATCACCACCGTCACCGCCACCACCATTACCACCACCATTGCCACCGTCACCACCATTGCCACCATCACCACCGTCACCACCGCCACCACCACTGACAACGACACAAGTGGTGGGCCCGATGCGAGCGTCGCGTTTTGGGCGTCACCCAGTAACACGTCACCCGCGTGCACTGCCCCCCGGGCCCCCCCCCCCCCGGGCCCCCCCCCCCGGGCCCCCCGGCCCCCCCCTCCCGTGCCCGCCCCCTCCCGCTCCCGCAGTGCGATCCTGGACCTGCCTGTGACGGAGCGCGACTTCCTGGAGCAGCTGCAGGAGCTCAACAACAAGATCAACTACGCCAAGGAGCAGGCCTTCCGCGAGACGCTCGCCTGCCAGGACACGCACGACGTGCTGGCCAAGCTGAAGGCCAAGGTGCCACCATCACCACCACCATCATCATCACCACCACCACTACCATCACCACCATCACCATCACCACCATCATCATCATCACCACCATCATCATCATCACCACCACCACTACCATCACCACCATCATCATCACCACCATCACCACCATCACCACCATCATCATCACCACTGCCAGGACATGCACGACGTGCTGGCCAAGCTGAAGGCCAAGGTGCCGCCACCACCATCACCACCACCGCTACCATCACCACCATCACCACTACCATCACCACCATCATCACCACCATCACCATCACCACTGCCAGGACATGCACGACGTGCTGGCCAAGCTGAAGGCCAAGGTGCTGCCACCATCATCACCAACATCACCAACATCACCACCATCGCCACCATCATCACCATCACCACTACCACCATCATCACCATCATCACCATCATCACCACCATCACCAACATCACCACTGCCAGGACACGCACGACGTGCTGGCCAAGCTCAAGGCCAAGGTGCCGCCACCATCACCACCATCATCATCACCATCATCACCATCACCACCATCATCATCACCATCACCACCATCACCACCATCATCACCAACATCATCACCATCATCACCGTCACCACCATCATCACAATCACCACCGCCACCATCACCACCAACATCACCACTGCCAGGACACGCACAACGTGCTGATGAACCACATCGTCAGAACCAGTCCTGGGCCTCCCCTAGGTCGACTCAGCCTCAAATTAGTACCTGGTGCGATTTAGGGGGAGCGGTAGTGTAGCGGTTAGCGCTACGCAGCGCTATGAACCTGGCGACCCGGGTTCGATTCTCGCTCACGGCTAACACCAGTGACGATTATCTGAACCGGTCCTGGGCCTCCCCTAGGTCGACTCAGCCTTAAATGAGTACCTGGTGCGGTGTGTAAACATCGCCACTGGGGAAAACAAAGGCGGTCGGGCGTAGTGCTGGCCACCCACCCCCTCGTTCGTGTACCGTTCCGGCCTTCACAGGTGCTCGCTAACAGCACTTGCCCCTACAGTCTGTTAAGGCTATACGGGTGATCTTTGTGTATATGCGTGTGTGTGTGTATGCGTGTGCGTGTGTGTATACTTGTGTGTATGCGTGTGTGTGTATACGTCTGTGTGTATGCGTGTGTGTGTGTATGCGTGTGTGTGTATACGTGCGTGTGTGTATGCTTGTGTGTATGCATGTGTGTGTATACGTGCGTGTGTATGCGTGTGTGTGTGTATATGTGTGTGTGTACGCGTGTGTGTGTATGCGTGTGTGCGTGTGTGTGCGTGTGTGTATGCGTGTATATGCGTGTATGTGTGTATGCGTGTGTGTGTGTGTATACGTGTGTGTGTATACGTGCGTGTGTGTATGCGTGTGTGTATGCGTGTGTGTGTATACGCGCGTGTTTGTATGCGCGTGTGTGTATACGCGTGTGTGTATACGTGTGTGTATACGCGTGTGTATATGTGTGTGTATGTGTGTGTGTGTGTATGCTTGTGTGCAGGCCATCGCCAAGGTCCGTGAGTTCATCCTACAGAAGATTTACGCCTTCCGCAAGCCCATGACCAACTACCAGATGGCACAGAACACGCTGCTCAAGTTCCGGTGAGTGGCACTCGCACACACAGACAACAAAGATCCCCCTTATAGCCTTTGCAGACTGCTGGGGCAAGTGCTGTTAGCGAGCAATTACAAAAGGCCGGCACGGCGCACGAGGGGGTGGGTGGCCAACACCACGCCCGGCCGCCTTTGTCTCCCCAGTGCTAGCGATGTTTTTACACACCGCTACGAACCTGGCGACCCGGGTTCGATTCCCGCTCACGGCCAACACCGGTGACGATGATCTGAACCCGGTCCTGGGCCTCCCCTAGGTCGATTCGGCCTCAAACCAGTACCGAAGTGGGGTGTGCGAATAAATTGTCACCACCGTCACCACCGTCACCATCGTTACCACCGTCACCACCGTCACCATCGTTACCACCGTCACCACCGTCACCATCGTTATCACCACCGTCACCATCGTCACCACCGTCACCACCGTCACCACCGTCACCATCGTCACCACCGTCACCACCGTCACCACCGCCACCACCGTCACCACCGTCACCATCGTTATCACCACCGTCACCATCGTTACCACCGTCACCACCGTCACCACCGTCACCATCGTTATCACCACCGTCACCATCGTTACCACCGTCACCACCGTCACCACCGTCACCATCGTTATCACCACCGTCACCACCGTCACCACCGTCACCACCGTCACCACCGCCACCACCGTCACCACCGTCACCATTGTTATCACCACCGTCACCACCGTCACCACCGCCACCACTGTCACCACCGTCACTATCGTTACCACCGTCACCACCATTACCACCACCGTCACCACCGTCACCACCGTCACCACCGCTGACAACGCCACAAGTGGTGGGCCGGGACCCCTCGGCCGCACAGCGATGCGAGCGTCGCGTTTTGGGGCGCCGCCCAATAACGTGTCACCCACGTGCCCCCCCCCCCCCCCGGGCCCCCCCCCCCCCCCCGTGCGTCGCCGCAGCTTCTTCTCGGAGTTCCTGCTGGCGAACGAGCGTCACGTGGCCAAGGAGGTGCGGGACGAGTACGTGGACACGATGGCGCGCATCTACTACTCGTACTTCAAGGCCTACACCAGCCGCCTCATGAAGCTGCAGGTGCCGCCACTGTGGGGCGGGGGAGGGGTGGTGACGATGGTGGTGGTGATGACGATGGTGATGACGATGGTGGTGATGACGATGGTGATGGTGATCGTGGTGATGGTGGTGATGACGATGATGGCAATGGTGGTGGTGGTGATGACGATGATGACGATGATGACGATGGTGGTGGTGATGGTGGTGATGGTGGTGATGACGATGATGACGATGGTGGTGGTGATGGTGGTGATGGTGGTGATGATGGTGATGACGATGATGACGATGGTGGTGGTGATGGTGGTGATGATGACGATGATGATGATGGTGGTGGTGATGGTGGTGATGATGGTGATGATGGTGGTGCTGTCCGCCTTCACTCACCCCGTGAGGTGCCGACGACCCCTCTAATGCCCCCACCCCCCCCCACTACCCCCCCACTCCCCCCCCACTCCCCCCCCACTCCCCCCCCACTCCCCCCCCACTCCCCCCCACCCCCACTCCCCCCCCACTCCCCCCCCACCCCCACTCCCCCCCCACCCCCACTCCCCCCCCACCCCCACTCCCCCCCCACCCCCACTCCCCCCCCACTCCCCCCCCCACCCCCACTCCACTCCCACCCCCACTCCCCCCCCACTCCCACCCCCACCCCCACTCCCACCCCCACCCCCACTCCCACCCCCCACCCGTGTCTCCGCAGTACGAGGAGGTGGCCGACAAAGATGACCTCATGGGGGTGGAGGACACGGCCAAGAAAGATATCCTCCCTCGCGACTGGGGGGAGGGGCGAGAGGGGGGAGGGGTGAGTGGGGGGAGGGGCGAGTGGGGGGAGTGGGGGGAGGGGCGAGTGGGGGGAGGGGCCAGTGGGGGGGGGGGTGAGTGTGGGGGGAGGGGTGAGTGGTGGGGGTGAGTGGTGTTCTCCGCTTGAGCCCTTCCCCTTGACGATCTGAACGTTTCTTCTCGAAGCCGTCGCTCCGCAACCGCAACACCACCTTCACGCTGGGCAACCGCGGCGCCGTCATCTCCGGCGAGCAGCTGGAGGCGCCCATCCTGGTGCCGCACGCCGCCCAGAAGCAGGACACGCGGGTGGGCGACGCGCGGGAGCGGGGCGCACACGCGTCACGCACTAGCGTCACGCACTAGCGTCGCGCGCTAGCGTCACGCACTAGCGTCACGCACTAGCGTCACGCGCTAGCGTCACGCGCTAGAGTCACGCACTAGCGTCACGCACTCGCGTCACGTGCACGCGTCGCGCGCTAGCGTCACTCGCGTCACGCACTAGCGTCACGCACTAGCATCACGCACTAGCGTCACGCACTAGCGTCACGCACTAGCGTCACGCACTAGCGTCACTAGCGTCACGCACTAGCGTCACGCACTAGCGTCACGCACTAGCGTCACTCGCGTCACGCACTAGCGTCACGCACTAGCGTCACGCACACGCGTCACGCGCTAGCGTCACGCACTAGCGTCACGCACTAGCGTCACTCGCGAGCGTCACTCGCGTCACGCACTAGCGTCACGCACTAGCGTCACGCACTAGCGTCACGCACTAGCGTCACGCGCTAGCGTCACGCACTAGCATCACGCGCTAGCGTCACGCACTAGCATCACGCGCTTGCGTCACGCACTAGCGTCACGCGCTAGCGTCACGCACTAGCGTCACGCGCTAGCGTCACGCACTAGCGTCACGCACTAGCGTCACTCACTAGCGTCACGCACTAGCGTCACTCACTAGCGTCACTCACTAGCGTCACGCACTAGCGTCACGCACTAGCGTCACTCGCGTCACGCACTAGCGTCACGCGCTAGCGTCACGCGCTAGCGTCACGCGCTAGCGTCACGCGCTAGCGTCACGCGCTAGCGTCACGCGCTAGCGTCACGCGCTAGCGTCACGCGCTAGCGTCACGCGCTAGCGTCACGCGCTAGCGTCACGCGCTAGCGTCACGCGCTAGCGTCACGCGCTAGCGTCACGCGCTAGCGTCACGCACACGCGTCACGCGCTAGCGTCACGCGCTAGCGTCACGCACACGCGTCACGCGCTAGCGTCACGCGCTAGCGTCACTCGCTAGCGTCACGCGCTAGCGTCACGCGCTAGCGTCACTCGCTAGCGTCACGCACACGCGTCACGCACTAGCGTCGCGCACACGCGTCACGCACTAGCGTCGCGCACACGCGTCACGCACTAGCGTCACGCACACGCGTCACTCTAGCGTCACGCACACGCGTCACGCACTAGCGTCACTCACTAGCGTCACGCACTAGCGTCACTCACTAGCGTCACGCACTAGCGTCACGCACACGCGTCACGCACTAGCGTCGCGCACACGTGTCACGCACTAGCGTCGCGCACTAGCGTCGCGCACTAGCGTCGCGCACACGCGTCACGCACTAGCGTCACGCACTCGTGTCATGCAAGGTGCCGCTGCGTGCGGCCGGTCGACTCGGGTCAGGTGGTGCATCAACCAGTCGATCTCGGTCATCTCGGTCAGTCGACCCGTGGCACCTGCTGGGTCTGGGTTTGTGACCTCCTGCCGGCGGGCGTTCGACAACTTCACGTGGCCGTGAAAGTGCACCTGGCCTGGCACAAGCGCCGTGGTGACGTCACCCCCACGTGGTGGTGAAGGGCGGCGGTTGTTGCTCGTTTGAGAGTCTGCTCCGTAACCAGCGATGTGTGTGTGTGTCTGTGTGTGTGTTTCTGTGTGTGTGTTAGTGAGTATCTGTGTGTGTGAGTATCTCTGTGTGTCTCTCTGTGTGTGTGTGAACTCCACTCCCACAACTCCCAATCGGTGATGGGGCAGTTGTGGAGAGAGTGGAGAGTTTCCCATATCTGGGCAGTGTGCTTATGACCGGCTCCAGTTTATCAGCAGAGGTCTCACTCCGAATCAGTCGAGCGGCATTATCTTTTCATCGGTTGCATAACGCTGTGTGGAAGCTACCTGATCTGTCGCTCCGCACGAAGCTTCAGGTCTTCTCGGCCACGGTCATTCCCTCTCTTCTCTACGGTTGCGAAACGTGGACCCCCCTAATGGAGCATCTTCGCCGGTTGGAAACATTTAGGCTGGCCTGCCTACAATCCATCCTGGGTTTAACCAGGCTGGATTGTGTGAGGAGCTCACAAATCCTTGAAAGATCTGGGCAAAGTCCCATCGGTGAGCTCCTCCGGCAGGCAAGGCTGCGTTGGCTGGGTCATGTAGCCCGCATGCCCAGCTACCGCATGCCTAAACAGCTTTTGTTCGGCCGGATCGAGGGGGCTAAACGGGCGCGGCACGGGCTAGAGAAGAGATGGAGTGATGTGGTACAGGAGGACGTGGAGCTGAGTGGATTTGCCGATGACTGGTACCAGCGGTGTCAAGATCGGCCTCAGTGGAGGAGGCTCGTGAAGGACGCTACTGGGCAGTTGGAGGCAGTCGCCCTCCAACAACAACGGAGGGCGGAGGAGCGACGCTCCCAACAAGAGCGGAGCGCCGGGTGGCTAAAGCACAGCAAGTTGGCACAGTAGGGGGCACAGGTGGTGCATCAGCCAGTCATCTCGGTCAGTCGACCCGTGGCACCTGCTGGGTCTGCCCCGTGACCTCCTGCCAGCGGGCGTTCGACACTTCACGTGGCCTCAAGGTGCACTTGGCCTGGCACAATCGTGGTGACGTCACCGCCACTTAGTGGTGAATGGCGTTTGTTGTTGTGTGTGTGTGAGTATCTCTGTGTGTCTCTGTGTGTGTGAGTGTGTCTCTGTGTGTGTGTGAGTATCTCTGTGTGTGTCTCTGTGTGTGTCTTTGTGTGTCTTTGTGTGTGTGAGTGTGTCTCTGTGTGTGTGTGAGTATCTCTGTGTGTCTCTGTGTGTGTCTCTGTGTGTCTCCGTGTGTGTGAGTGTGTCTCTGTGTGTGTGTCTCTCTGTGTGTCTCTGTGTGTCTCTGTGTGTGTGAGTGCAGTACTCGTTTGAGAGTCTGTTCCGTAGCCAGCACTACGCGCTGTGTGTGTGTGTGTCTCTCTGTGTGTGTCTCTGTGTGTCTCTGTGTGTGTGAGTATCTCTGTGTGTCTCCGTGTGTGTGAGTGCAGTACTCGTTTGAGAGTCTGTTCCGTAGCCAGCACTACGCGCTGTGTGTGTGTGTCTCTCTGTGTGTGTCTCTGTGTGTCTCTGTGTGTGTGAGTATCTCTGTGTGTCTCCGTGTGTGTGAGTGCAGTACTCGTTTGAGAGTCTGTTCCGTAGCCAGCACTACGCGCTGTGTGTGTGTGTCTCTCTGTGTGTGTCTCTGTGTGTCTCTGTGTGTGTGAGTATCTCTGTGTGTCTCTGTGTGTGTGAGTGCAGTACTCGTTTGAGAGTCTGTTCCGTAGCCAGCACTACGCGCTGTGTGTGTGTGTCTCTCTGTGTGTGTCTCTGTGTGTCTCTGTGTGTGTGAGTATCTCTGTGTGTCTCCGTGTGTGTGAGTGCAGTACTCGTTTGAGAGTCTGTTCCGTAGCCAGCACTACGCGCTGTGTGTGTGTGTCTCTGTATGTGTCTCTGTGTGTGTGAGTGTTTCTGTGTGTCTCTGTGTGTGTGTGTGTGTCTCTGTGTGTGTGTGAGTATCTCTGTGTGTCTCTGTGTGTCTCCGTGTGTGTGAGTGCAGTACTCGTTTGAGAGTCTGTTCCGCAGCCAGCACTACGCGCTGCTGGACAACTGCTGCCGCGAGTTCCTCTTCCTCTGCGACTTCTTCATGGTGAGCGGCGCCTCTGCCCACGAGCTCTTCACCAGCGTCATGGGCCGCTCCCTCTCCATGTTCATGGTGAGCGCACGCACCGCCGACACGCGGGGGCACGCAAACTCGCTCGCCCGCACGCTCGACCACTCAGCCACTCACTCAGCCACTCACTCAGCCAGTCACTCAGCCACTCGCTCGGCCAGTCACTCAGCCACTCACTCAGCCACTCACTCAGCCAGTCACTCAGCCACTCGCTCGGCCAGTCACTCAGCCAGTCACTCAGCCAGTCACTCAAACAGTCACTCAGCCACTAAGCCACTCGCTCGGCCACTCACTCGGCCACTCACTCAGCCACTCACTCAGCCAGTCACTCAGCCAGTCACTCAGCCACTCACTCAGCCAGTCACTCAGCCAGTCACTCAGCCACTCACTCAGCCAGTCACTCAGCCAGTCACTCAGCCAGTCACTCAGCCACTCACTCAGCCACTCACTCAGCCAGTCACTCAGCCAGTCACTCAGCCACTCACTCAGCCAGTCACTCAGCCAGTCACTCAGCCACTCACTCAGCCACTCACTCAGCCAGTCACTCAACCAGTCACTCAGCCAATCACTCAGCCAGTCACTCAGCCACTCACTCAGCCAGTCACTCACTCAGCCACTCACTCAGCCACTCACTCAGCCAGTCACTCAGCCACTCACTCAGCCAATCACTCAGCCAGTCACTCATCCAGTCACTCAGCCAGTCACTCAGCCACTCACTCAGTCACTCACTCAGCCAGTCACTCAGCCAGTCACTCAGCCACTCACTCAGTCACTCACTCAGTCACTCACTCAGCCAGTCACTCAGCCACTCACTCAGCCAGTCACTCAGCCACTCACTCAGTCACTCACTCAGTCAGTCACTCAGCCACTCACTCAGCCACTCACTCAGCCACTCACTCAGCCACTCACTCAGTCACTCACTCAGCCAGTCACTCAGCCAGTCACTCGGCCACTCACTCGGCCACTCACTCGGCCACTCACTCGGCCACTCACTCAGCCACTCACTCAGCCACTCACTCAGCCAGTCACTCAGCCACTCACTCAGCCAATCACTCAGCCAGTCACTCATCCAGTCACTCAGCCAGTCACTCAGCCACTCACTCAGTCACTCACTCAGCCAGTCACTCAGCCAGTCACTCAGCCAGTCACTCAGCCACTCACTCAGTCACTCACTCAGTCACTCACTCAGCCAGTCACTCAGCCACTCACTCAGCCAGTCACTCAGCCAGTCACTCAGCCAGTCACTCAGTCACTCACTCAGTCAGTCACTCGGCCACTCACTCGGCCACTCACTCGGCCACTCACTCAGCCACTCACTCAGCCACTCACTCAGCCACTCACTCAGTCACTCACTCAGCCAGTCACTCGGCCAGTCACTCGGCCACTCACTCGGCCACTCACTCAGCCACTCACTCAGCCAGTCACTCAGCCACTCACTAAGCCACTCACTCAGCCACTCACTCAGCCAGTCACTCAGCCACTCACTCAGCCAATCACTCAGCCAGTCACTCAGCCACTCGCTCAGCCACTCACTCAGCCAGTCACTCAGCCACTCACTCAGCCACTCACTCAGCCACTCACTCAGCCACTCACTCAGCCACTCACTCAGCCAGTCACTCAGCCAGTCACTCAGCCACTCACTCAGCCACTTGGCTACTTGCTCGCTCGGCGACTGAATCAATCACTCACCCACAAACCCACCCACTTACACACTCAGCCACTAAGCCACTCGCTCGGCCACTGGCTCGCTCACTTGCTCAGCCAGTCACTCAGCCAGTCACTCAGCCACTCTGCCACTTGCTCGCTCGGCGACTCACTTAATCACTCACCCACAAACCCACCCACTTACACACTCAGCCACTAAGCCACTCGCTCGTCCACTCGCTCGGCCACTGGCTCGCTCACTCGCTCAGCCAGCCACTCAGCCAGTCGCTCATCCACTTGGCTACTTGCTCACTCACTCACCCACTCACCCACACACTCACCCACCCACTTACACACTCAGCCACTAAGCCACTCGCTCGGCCACTCACTCAGCCACTCGACCACTTGCTCACCCACACACTCACCCACCCACTTACACACTCAGCCACTCAACTGCCCACTCACTCACACACACACACACTGCCACTCACTCACCCACCCACTTACCCGCTCACTCACCCAACCACTCAACTACTCACCGACTCAACAACAGCAACAGCAGCCACCATTCACCGCTTGCACGAGCCGAGCCACAGACATCGCACGCAGCAAACCCGTGTCCACCTCCTCCTCCCTCCTCCTCCTCCTCCGTTGGGGTCCTCGTCAGAAACACATGGACGCGTACGTGGCCGACTGCTACGACAGCATCGCCGTGTTCCTGTGCATCCACGTCATCCTGCGCTTCAAGGCCATCATGGCCAAGCGCGGCGTGCCGGCCCTCGACAAGTGAGGAGCAGTGCACACGCAGAGCACACGCAGAGCACACGCAGAGCACACGTAGAGCACACGCACCGCAAGCACAAACGTAAGCACGCGCAGAGCACACGAGCACAGAGCACGCAAGCACGCAGCAGCACGCGCAGAGCACTCGCAGCAGCACACACGCAGAGCACACGCGAGCACTCAAGAACGCAAGCACGCCAGAAGCACGCGCAGAGCACCGCAAGCAGCAGAGCACCGAACTCCGGCAGAGCACCGCAGAGCACAGACGCACACGCACAGACACAAGCACCGCAGAGCACACACGCATGAGCACGCGCAGAGCACGCGCAGAGCACGCGCAGAGCACTCGCAGAGCACACGCAGAGCACACGCAGAGCACACGCAGAGCACCGCAGAGCACACGCAGAGCACGCGCAGAGCACGCGCAGAGCACGCGCAGAGCACGCAGAGCACACGCAGAGCACACGCAGAGCACACGCAGAGCACGCGCAGAGCACGCGCAGAGCAC